ACCCTAACCCTAACACACTTCGTGATACCTTAAGGTTATACTTTATGACTTACGGTTAGGGGTAGGGTTTTTGCATCATTCCTTGATATAAGGAAAGTTTGTGCATCAGTTGATGATACACAGAAATCTGTGCATCACTTTGTGATACCCAAGGTGCCTAAAGTGGATTTGCACCCGCTGGTGTTCCGGTATTATTACTAGGTTAGTATTACTAATACTATTATTATTAACGTTTATTACTATTAGTTACCGCGGTCCTGCGCCGTAACCATTTAGATTCAGAATGGTATGGCGCGATCATAAATTTCACGAATGTACATATAACCTCATAACCTCATAAGTGTTAATCTTCAAAAGTCCTGGGGACTATAACGAAGTTGGAGATGAAGTGAATCAAGTTGGTAGATCCACACTGCGGATCGCAGCGGGAAAGGTTGTAAATTTGCTATTTACTAAGGATGAAGGCAGTGAATTCCAATACGAAATCACAGAGACAAAGAAGCTAAACTTAAAAGGATCCTTAGAAGTTTGTACATGCCGAAAACAGTGAACACGCTCAGATGAGCGGGTGCAGCGAACAGGCTTCATTAAGCAAGAGGGAATGCCAATTTTCATCCGACTATGATAAATTTTATAGAAAGTTATGAGTTTTGAATGAAGAAAGCGGACACGAAGAGGAGGCCATTCAAGACAAGCCAAAACAACATCAACACTATCATCATAGTTTCTGGAAACCCATCTCGCAGCTTTATGCTGAATGGTGTCCAATTTAGAGTAGTTATGAAGTCTATAGGGGCACCAGCCTGGCGAAGCATATTCTAAGGCCGACCAAAAAATTTCCTTTGGTTCGGGCCACCCGCCCGACTTTACATTTCGGAGGGATAAAATGTGCGACTGCGGTCACTTTTAGAGGGTTTCAAGAAAAAATAAAATTCAAAGATACCGCCTGCCGATCATACATATTCAAATATCCGACTCTTGTCATTTTATTTACCTAAAGAGAGTTCCAAAATATTTATAAACAGAACTTCGTTGGCGAGAAGTGAAACAGTTCGTACGTACGTTTCCTACAACGTGAAACAGTCGTATAGAGCCTGGGCCGGCTACTTCATAAACAGAGCCTGAAGGTCGTATGGCGCGGCGGCCGACTTTGATGTACGCGATCGATCGCGTACTATACAGTATACGCATGCTATCGTGCTATACGCGGCCGCCGATCCGTTTACACTTCGGTTACTCGCTCGTTCAAAGGGACGATTAATCGAGCTCCGTTTTTGGAGCGATTCCTAACACTACTATCCAGGTGTTCACATTATGAAAACAATGTCATGACTGGCAGCAATGGTGTATGCAACTGCAAGTCATTTGCATCTTGTGGCTCCTGCATTTCAAGTTGTATACCCTATATTTAACTTGTGAAAAAAAAAATTATATTCCTGCCTACCCATGTTTTTGCAAGAAAAAAAAACGTTATACCTACCTACCTACCCTAATTTTCACAATCCATGTGACCCAAACCAAAGGTATTTTTTTGTTTGGCCTAATATGGGCAGAACCATAGTTTTAAAAGCTAAGGACCGAGTTTTAGAGTCAGCAAAGCTAAGATTACGCCGTAACATGCCGAGGGATCGGGATGCTTTCTTACAAATATAGTCAACGTGAGCATTCCAGCGAAGATCGTTACTAATAATAACACCCAAATATTTGTAAGTAGGGGTAAGAGATAGATATTTATGATACAGCGAGTAAGTAAAAGTCAAGGGTGATTTGGAGCGAGTAATGCGAAGAATTTTACATTTTTCTGTATTGACATACCCTAAGATGTTGCCCACTTCTCAGTACGAGTAAGGACACTCTGGAGGGCTAACTGATCGCTCTTATTGAAGATGGTGCGGTACAGAACAGCGTCGTCAGCAAAGAGGCGAATAGAAGTAGAAGGGTCAGTTTCGGCCAACAAATCATTTATAAAGGATAAGAACAGCAATGGACCAAGCACAGAACCTTGGGTATACCCGATGTGACAGCGGCCACATCTGACATGCTGCCGTTAACACAGACAATTTGAGATCTAGCTTGCAATATCCTTCAAAAAGTCAGAGATCCATTTTAACGTAGTACTACTAAGTACTATTACTAGTAGTACTGCAGATGGGGTCGTTGTCGTATCAGGTACTACAGATATGTAGGCCTACCCGAGGTAGTTTTAGGTTGTTTAGTATTATGTTTATATTTTTATATGAGGTATGTTTAGGGTTAGGGTTAGTGTTAGGGTTAGGGTAGTAGGTACACTTCTGTAGTACAAGTCTGGTACACTTTGTATATACATATATGTACCTCTGGTACATATCTGTAGTACCTGATACGACAACGTCCCCTTGAGCAGTAGTACTAGTAATACTAATACTAATAGTAGTGCAGATGGGGTCGTTGTCGTATCAGGTACTACAGATATGTACCCGAGGTATAGCTTTAGGTTGTTTAGTATTGTTTATATTTTTATATGAGCCAATATGAGGTATGTTTAGGGTTAGGGTTAGTGTTAGTGTTAGGGTTAGGGTACACTTTGTGTATACATATATGTACCTCAGGTACATGTCTGTAGTACCTGATACGACAACGACCCCTTGAGCAATAGTACTCAGTAGTATCCAAACCCAAGTGACCAAGTTTGAAAATTAAAAGGTCATGAGGAACCCTAGTCCGAGCCGACGCAGACCCCAGTAATGGTGATAAACCCCCGATAAACCCGCACCCTCAGATTACCAAAGCGGAGTTATAATGTCTGCATTTGCGGACTAGAGGAACCCTATCAAAGGCCTTACTAAAATCTAGGAATAAACATATATATAACAAAATTGACGCAAACTTCCCTACCATTCTTAAATCATCAATCAGTGCATGTAAACATTCAATGATTCATTTAGGCAAGAAGACGAACAACT